CTTCTCCTCCATTTTCCTCTCAGGATCTTGGACACGCATGCCCATGCACCTGGTTTTAGTTTAAGACACTGGGTCCAGGACTTGAACCGAGGTCTACTACATGGGAGTCCAGCGACATAGCCATCACGCTAACTACTGATCCCATCTCACTTTACTTTTAACTGTTCTTTCTCATGAGTATTAAAAGCAGTTTAGGGCCAACCAGGTGGCATGGTGGTTAAGGCAGTGGGATCCCACATGACCAACTTCATGGCGTGAGTCTCGGACCTGAAAAACATGCAAGGCGTGTGTGTGTGTGTGTGTGTGTGTGTGTGTGTGTGTGTGCGTGTGCGTGCATGCGTGCATGTGTGCCCCAAATCCTGAGAGAAGCATAGAGGAGAAGAGATTGTGGCATGGCCATCTCCCTAGGGGGAGATTCTTTATCTTCCTCTCTCTCTCTCTCTCTCTTTCTGGCAAGTTCATGTACATTGTAGCAAAACTAAAATAAAAACCAAACAAAAATTTTCCTTACCCCAACCCCTGCCTTCAGATTATACATGCAAAATCAGCCCATTCTCCAAAAGGCAATGTCCAATGTTTAGTCACTTAAAAAAATAAATGTTGAGTTTTTTGCTTTTTCTTTATATTATGTAATATAAATTTAAGGAAACCATTATCATTCTTTATGTTTGTTTGTTTGTTTGATTTGAGAGCGTTTTGCTATAGGGCACATGTACTTGCTGTAGAGACAAAGGGCAATAGAAAGAAAGTGAGAAATCAACTTCCCAGGGTGGATGGCCATGCTGTAATCCCTTCTACATTCTTGTCTTGAGATTTTGGGCACACACTCAGACGTGCTTGGCACAAGCTTCAAGCTGCAGGGTCTGGGACTTGAGCCACAGCTGGCCATGTGGTAGACCAGTGTCTCAACCACTATACTACCTGCTGGCCCCCCATTGCCATCATTCTTTTTTTATTTATTTTTTTTTTTGGAGATGTTTTTGCTATAGGGCACATGCACTCACCAGAAAGACAGACAGAAAGCGAGAAATCACCCCCTAGGGGGGATGGCCATGCCGCAAACCCTTCTCCTTCATTCTTTTCTCAGGATCTTGGGCATGCACGCACACACGCCCAGTGTGAGTTTAAGCCACCAGGTGAATTTAAGCCACGTTGAACCACTGTCGACTATATGGGAATCCAGCGACATAGCCATTACGCCAACTGCTGGTCCCTTCCATTGTCATCATTCTTAATTATGTTAAAAAAAATTCTTGGCTTAGGTCCATGTTGCTCAATAGTATGTGAGCCAGAATCCTAATCTAACTCTGATTATAGTTTGCTAAAAACTCTTCATTGTATTTGACATGGATGTCTCTAGTGACCTTGGCAACAGCAGATTTGGTGGAGGGGAGGACAGATAACAGATTAGTTAAAGAGTAGGAAAGAGTTTAGGATGCTTAATTCTGTTTATCTCCTTTGCAGTTTAAGTTCTAGAAGGAGCACAACACCCGGCACATAGTAAGTTGTATAGTATTAGCTGTATTGCTGTTGACTTCTCAGTCACATTTAACCCCATTCATTTATCTCATCAACCGATGAGATGCAGTCCTGTTGTGTTGGCAGGCACTGTTCTGGGTGCTGGAAACACAGCAGTGTATAAATAGACAAAAGGCCTGCCTTTGTGGGGAAACACAATCTTTCTTGTCAGCATTTCTTCTCTGTTATCATTATGTGTGGGGTTTATTTAGACTGCATCCTGGAATCGTTTTATTTTTTCCTGTGTTGTCTCACCCATCCTCATGATGTCCTTTATCTTCCCAGAGCTGAATATTCTGAACTCTAGATCTACGTCTCCACTTAGCTCAAATACCCTCAGACTCTTTGTTCTGTTGTGGTTATTGTTTACTGCGTAACAAACCATCTTGCAATGCAGTGTCTTACCAATAGTCAGTTGGTCTGCTCCTGAATCTAGTTTCTCCAGGGCTTGGGAAGAGTGACTCTTTCCTGCTTCACATGGCATCAGGCAAAGTGGCTCAACTGGGCAGGACAGTTCACTTCCCAGTTGGTGTGCTCATGTGGTGCCAAGTTGGTGCTGGGTATGGGCTGAGATCTCAGCCAGGGCACTGGTCTGGAGAACCTCAGTTCTTTTCCATATAGATATTTTCATTAACTGATTATTCAGCCTTTCGTAAAGTATGGAAGCCTTGGAGCAGGTAAACAACTTATATGGAGTCTCTGAGCTCTGAGTCAGTGGCCTTCTGCAGTCCAGCCCTGGAAGCCATAGTGTCACTTTGGCCATAATCATAAGCCCATCCAGTTTTTTTTTTTTTTTTTT